CCACGCTTGCCTTTCCCCAGGCCGGGTGGCGGTGCCACGTGCAGGGCCTTCGCGTGGCCAGAAGCAGGGGCCTGGGAGGAGCGGGCCACTGCACGACGTCCACCCCAGACACCGATTCATGGCTCGCTTCCGTTTTACTGCGAAACGGGGTCTCGCTGTTGCCTAGGCCGGAGTGCAGCCAGGCTGTCACAGCTCGCTGCAGCCGCAAACTCTTGGGCTCGAGTGATCGTCCCACTCGAGCCTCCCAAGCAGCTGGGACGACGGACGTGCTCCACTGTGCCGGGCTAATTTTGGGGGGGATGGAGGGCTCCCTGTGTTGCCCAGGCTGGTCTTGAACTCCTGGCCTCAGGCGATCCTCCTACCTGAGCCCCCCCAAGTGCTGGGATTACAAGCGTGAGCCGCTAAATCTGGCCTCAATTTTACATTTCAAATGCCACTGAAAACACATTCTAGTGGGGTTAAGATTTTTATGTTCACGTTTCCTACAACCCTCAAGCAGTAACTGAAGGAAAAACAATTTAAAATGTATTTCAATCTTTAATGCTGACCTCTGTTTTTGCTTTCTTATTGATTCTTACATTCTTACATTTTCCAGAGACAAAAGCAAAAGGTAAAAGTGTATTAAAACACTCATTATTTCACTCCATTCTTTCATGAGATTAGAAACTGTATTTGATGGTGTTTTCTTGTACAATTGCGAGTTCTTATTTTCACAACTGTCTCCAGTAATTTTGCACAAGAATACTGGCTAGAATCGTTTAACAGTACTTACGCATGTCGACTCAGAAGTAAACTGCAAAACTACAACACATGCTCTCATAGCAGAATGGCCTCATTTCTTTTGGAGCAATGAGTAACGATGGTGAGATCTGTGTCCCGATGGAGTTTTGTGTGCCTTTATCCCATCTTTTGCATTGAGGATGAAGCTTACTAAGTTGGAAGGCATGGTTTTTTCAATTATTGACAGAGACAATTTCCCTCTCATTTCTGTCTGGACAAACATCACTAATTTGGAATGTGCTGGGTTTCTGTAAGCGAAGGAAGAGTTGAGAGTAGGTAGTGAATTTTTAGATTTACCCATTAAACTTACAAGGCTGTGGAGAGAGGGATTCTTGTCCTGTTCACTACGGATTCCCTCCAAAGTGCTTATGATAAGGGAGTTACCAAAGGAAGGAAAGAAAAAAAGAAGACAGGAATTTGCAGAACCTTATACAATTTTTGCATAAAAATATTAAGTACTTAGACTCTATCTTGAGATCTTTGGTTTTAGGCATTTTTTTCTTTTTGTCATTTTACTGACTTTAAAAACTATAAAAGTTACCTTATGAAAAGTAAGCAATACATATTTTTCATAATTAAAGAGGGTTATCCCTCCATTATTCCCTTTATTCTATTTCTCAGAGATAATCTCTGTTTATAGTCTTAACTTTATCTTTTCAGGTACATGAAGATAGCATACACAAAGATAGCATCCATACGTATGTACATAAATATGCACCCCTCATATACACAGATACAGTTGTTTTTAATGAAATGTACTTTTTCTTTTGCAACTAGGTTTATTTTCCTCTTCAGGGGAGTCAAACACTTCCTTCCGTGTCTAAACATGCAGATCTGCTTGACTGGTTTCCATGGCCACATACAGTGTTTCAAACTCTATTTAATAATCCTTTTATTTGCTGTCATTTAGGCTGGTTCTCACTTTTTGCTACTATAAATACAGCTGCAATCAAACATCTTTGTAATATATCAATTTTATTTTTATAACTACTTAGAATGTCTAGGTCAAAGGTTTGTGCATTTAACATTTTGACATATTATTTCCAAATTGCCATCTAAGAAGACTAGTATTTTTTATTCCAACCCAGTGATCTTCAAACAGGTATAAGAAGATGAATACTTTCAAGGGAATAACTTTTCAAACCTCTAACTTCCATATGCATTTTTTCTTTGATCTGAAAATATGTCTCTGATGAAGACATGGAATTTTTCTTTTCCATCAGTCTGTCCACAATCACCCTTCTCTTACTTCCCACAACAAAGGTATAACTGTCATCCACACGAAATAGTACTGAATAGTACTGTGGTGGTTTACGCTGGCATATAAAAATCTTAGAAGCTAAAGAGAAAATTTGATCTCTTAGAAGTGAGTTGAGAAAGTGAACGACTAATGACTGGATAAAAAAATCCTTTTCCAAGTCCTGTCAATACTTTTCTTTCAGTAAAACTGAAGGATCTAACTGAGTTATCAGTTGACAGGTCATTACAAATTCTTTCTGATTATAGGACACTACGTGATTATGGTCTACAATTCAGAAAGATTTCAAGGCATTGAATGACAGTGCTGGAATTGGACTCCTTCCATTTTAGCCCACTTATTAAGTGGATACATTTTCTCAGTTCTTATACGATAAAAAGCAGGAGTAGATCTGTTATTGAATGCTGTTTCATCTTATTAGTCCTATCTGTCCACAGTCAGATGAAGTAAGATGGTTAGAAGCATGGACTCGGGTCATAGTCTGCCTTGGTCTGAAATTGAGCTTTGCCGTTACCTGTTTGTAGCCCTGAGAAAGATCCTTGCTCTCTTCAGGCTTCCGCTTTCTTTTCTGCCTTTGGGCAGAGTGATACCACCCCTCCAGGGAATGACTCTGAGGACCACCCGAGGCAACATATGCAGACTGTTTATAGCAATGCCTGACACATGGCAAGTGCTATTTCAGTTTTGCTAATAAGTGAAAGCTGTGTTTCCAATAAGTCTGCATTATGTCTAATAATTATGTAATACATCTTGTAATATGTTTTATTTTGATCAGTGTGTAATGATAACAAGCTAATCCAGAAGGCATATATATTTGTTAATGCTTAAAGACCATGGTCAAAGGAAATAAAGCCAATTTTAAAGCTTAAATACATATTATTTTTGTAGAGAATTATGATAGGGTGATTACGAAGGAATTCAAAGCATAAAATATATTCTGTTAAACCAAAATTATGTGAGGGGGAAAAATAAAAATGTGAGTTCAAGAAGGAAAGGAATGATGTAAATTTTCTGATTGTTACAAGTTATGTGTTTTCTGAAATGGATAGTATATAAGGTGCATTCCAAGTTGTTACAGTATTTAGAATCTATTGGTTACATTTTATAAGGATGACATTGCCATTTTAAAATACTGTCACTATTTAGTATATGCTGGAAATTGTACCCTTTTCATCAGTTTAATTCTATGGAAAACTTTAATGTCAACTTTAAAATGTGCAAAGGGGAATACAATATTAAAAAAATATTTAAGAAGTTATGAAGACCATCGCTCCAACCAATACCGTATTTATTTTCTTATACTCTTCCCTATGCAGAGTTTAGACTACTTCTACAGCATCCCAAATGGCTGGATTGAGAATTATTTTACTTTGTGCAGTTTCATTTGTCTGAGATCAGTCTTTGGTATGAAAATACTAAATGGAAAATTCCAGAAATGAAAAATGTACAGGTTTTGCATGGCGTGTTGTTCTGGGCAGCACGACAGAATCTCGCACTGGCCTGCTCTGTTCCACTGAAGGATGCGACTCATCCCTTTTGCTGCCCATCCTTATGCAACCCATCTGTCAGTCACGCGGCCCTCTCAGGCACAAGACTGAAAAAATATAGTATATGTAGAGTTGGTACCATCTGTGGTTCCAGGCCTCCCTGAACATGAGATGTGTCCCCTGAGAACAAAGGGAGAAGTACTCTCCCCCCTTACTAGCAGTTTGTACAGTCTTAAGTTTCTACTTGCATGTACTATGCCTTTACACGTAAGAGAGCCTTTCCAATATTTAGTGGGGAGAACTTTTACAGCTGGCAAGGCACGCGAAGGGGACTTGGCCTGTGAAGCACACTTCAAGGTGTGTAATTTCTCATCTGGAGCCCCTGCCAGCAGTTGATTTGCCTTGCTGATCTGGAGAAATAATCCTTTATTTTTGTTCTCTCCTGTTATGGAGTACACAGTCTTGGCCATAGATTCAAAACTGACAAATGAGTAGCAACACTACACATTGTTATTATTATCTACATCAATTTTTCTGTCCATTAATGTGAATAATTGTGGAGCTTTTTAGTACTCGAATTCAGTAAACACTAAGGAATACAGGTCTAAAATTTAATATTATTTGGGCTTCCTTCACATAAATATTTTTTTCTTGTGCTGAGTGGTTTATATCTGCCCAATATAAAGCTTTACATCTGTTTTCATGTGCCAATATAGTTTACTTAATAAAAACAGTTAGCAAAAATTAAAACTTAAGGAACTTGTGAAAAATATACAGTGAATCAGAGTACATGCTTTTACAGTGTATGTATATTTTATGTTGCCATTTTATCCCCATCATTTAGTTACTTTATGATGCATCTGGTTTTTCTAACTTTTCTCTGATTTGAATGTACCCACTGGATCTCACTCTGTAGCTTGCTCTTAGCAGGTAGTCTGTTGGCAAGACTTCATCCAAGGTAAAGCATCCATTGCTTATGTGTGCTATAATTCTAGAAAAAATTATTTTTAATTCACAAAACCTCCTTAATAGTTTATAGAAGTGACTCTAATGGAGGAGTAGAAAACATCAGGGAAGTTTAACTGTGGAGAGATGTTTGTATGTGTTTGACTATGCTCAGAAACTGCGTGGCATACTTTATAGGGAAATATCCATTCTGATTAAAGATGAAAACAATTATAAAAAGTTATTTTAAAAATCACATTTAGAAAAAAGTAAGTAAAATTCACACTTAGGGGTTTTTTTTCCCCAACAGGATATTCTGGTATATATTTGTACTGATGAGCCAGGAATCTTGAACTAACTCACAAGTTGAACTAAAAGAACTGTTAAAATAAATAAGTGCAAATAATACTTACTCTTTCAGAGGTGAACATACAAAACCAGAAGGATGGTTATAACCACGGATATAATTTGAAGATGGAGGATACTCTGGGAAATCCACACTTACAGCTAAGTGATAAAGTAAAATGAAAATTATTCTTCAAAGATGAAAGACTGTTTCCAGTAGCATATTTTTAAATGTAGCACTTAAGTCAGTTATCAGCATTAATATTAGTTTCATACATGTGAATGTATGTTTCCCCACATGAATGTGCATATAAGCCAAAATTGAGAAAATACCAGTATGAGCATATTGTCCTCGCAAATTTTCCTGCTAGTATTTCTAAAGATGCCGTTACCTTTTGTATACAAGAAGAACTGTTAAATATCATTTAGCTACTGTATGACATTTTGAGCAAAAGCCCTCAAAGAAAAAAACTATACTATTAGGGTTGTGGGTTCATAGAATTTTTTGTTAATATATTTTTTTAAAATAAAATATTTGAAGTGGTTAGATAGTCTGTCACGAAAAACAGTTTAAAATGCCCCTTCTACTAATTCTCTGTAGCTAACTCTAAACTATAATTTAAAAAATCAATAGAGTATTCTAGGAATTACACAGCCTACTATCTGTATTGTATGTGCCTGCAGAGAGGTGATTTGATTATTATTTATGATGATTATATATACTCTTTCTAAAAGTATTTTTGAAAATATATTTGTTTATTCTGTGCAACTGAATCCTGCTCTTGTCAGAGAAGATGAATTTTCCTATATGATTTTAGCATAGGCAGTGAATTCTGTGGGAAATACAATGTGAAACACTTAGAGACTAATGTGGTTGAATGAATTTTCCACTTTTATGACTTGTCATTATCTTAGCAGATCCTAATATGCTGGCAGAATGGTAGTCCAGAAGTGATATTAAAATATTTTTTCTCTCTTTGAAATAAGGAGATTATGCTTGTCTTCCTTTAAAAAAAATCAGTTGTAGTCTACAAATAGGTATGAGTCTTTTGTGGTGTGGTAGTAGACAGGGCATTTAAAACTCTTTTTAGTGACAGACTTTTTAGAAAATCAGGAAGACCTGAGTTTTTTTGTTTGTTTGTTTTTTGAGTTGGAGTCTCACTCTGTTGCCCAGACTGGAGTGCGGTGGCCACTCCCGGCCACCGCAGCCTCACCTGCTGGGCCCCGGCAATTCCTCCGCCTCAGCCTTCCAAGTAGCTGAAACTACAGGCACGCACTACCACGCCCGGCTAATTTTTTTTTTTTTTTATTTATTGTAGAGATGAGGTCTCACCAAGTTGACCAGGCGGGTCTTGAACCCGCGAGCTCAGGCAATTCACTCACCTCAGCCTCCCAAAGGCATGGGATTACAAGCTGAGCCACCGAGCCTGGCTAAGACCTGAGTTTTAAATCTGGTCCAGCTGCTTGCTAGGTATGTTGCTTCATTTCTTCACTGCCTAACTTCTGTGAACTTCAGTTTAATCAGTGAGATGATGCATGCAAAATATTTAGCTCAAAGCAAGGTGCAGAGCAGGCTTTAAAAAATAAAACATTAAGAAAATTATGAGTATTCACCAAAAATTCTTTCAGTGGAAATTTCTGAAAGCAACTTCAGTCATGATTTGTGTGCCACATGACGGGTTACCTCTAGTTGTGATTTTTCAGCTTCTCTAATTACTAATAATGAGACAGAAATGGTCTGTTTAAAATAGCAGACCTATCGTTCAGACAGACAGTATTTTGTGAGAAGTGAAAACATTTTATGTACCTTCATTTAAAAAATGTAATCCCAGCACTCTGGGAGGTGGAAGTGAGAGGACTGCCTGAGCCCAGGGGTTCAAGACTAGCCTAAGCAACTTGGCAAGACCTAATCAAAAAATTAGCCGGATGTGATGGTGCACACCTGTAGTTCCAGCTACTTGGAAGGCTGAGGCGGAGGGATCACCTGGGCCCAGCAGGTCGAGACTGTGGTGGCCGTGAGCGTGCTGCTGCACTCCTGCCTGGGTGACAGAGTGAGATTCCAACTCCAAAACATAAAGTGGCAACTAAACATATATGAACGTTACAAACATCAACCTTCATGGTATGCTGAAGAAAGAGATAACTGGGTTTGGGTGAGTGCTATGACTCCATCTGACTACAATTATCTGTACTCAGTGTAGCAGGGCATATGCTGCAAAAGCCCAAGAGAGGTCACAGTCAGGGACTATTATGTAAACAGCACTTTCGGAGTGGGCAGGGTATCAGGCATGTCAACATGATACATGCTTGTTAGTTCCATTGAGTAAAGTTTTTAAAAGTAAATAATTGAAAATATAATTCCTTCCAAACTATAAGTAAGGGAGAAAAATGTATTAATGACTCAGTAATCCCAAAATGTGGTCACAGTGTTTCAACTTACAGCTGATAATGTTCATATTCCCTTCGTAGTGCTTGATGTATACTAAGTCAACAAAGTCTCGGGGGGAAATGGAGCCCATGGCAAAACTCGTCGTAATGGTATGACATAAGAATGTGTCCTGCAACAAATCAAATCATAAAGATCTCAACTATTTTTTAATATCTATCCTTGATGTTGTCCCCCCCCCCAATTTAATTGCACAAGACTGGCCTCCATTTAGCCAAAACAGGACTTTGAAGTTTTAGGATCTTACCACCAAACCAGCTTGCAGTCTGAGTGTTAAAGGAGCATTTGAGCTATGAGTGCAGACAATTTAGGAAGGAATCTTGAGATTATCTACTCTTTCCGTTTCTCGATGGAGAAATGGGTGCCTAGCAAACCACATGAGCAGCTAGAGAGACGTACAGAGCTAGAACCCAGGTTTCCTGATCCCCGTAAGTACTATTTCTACTACTCCACATAGCCTAGGCCACACGTTCTGAAAAACACACTGATTTGGCACCCTGTGGTGTAAGACTTAAAATTAAAGACCAATATTATGTGCTGCCTTGATATCTGGTGAAACAAGGAGGGCCTCGAACGGGCTAACTGCAAATTCCTCTTCCCACTCGGTCCCTGCAGAGAAGGTCCCCGAGCCAAAGAACCCTCCGTGTCAACAAGTCCAGCACAGTTACAACTTGTCCCAGGTGAGTGAGTTGTGGCTCCTGCGGGCTCACGGAATCACTCACACACGTCAGTCACGTCCTCTGCAGGAACTGGGGCTCGCCCCGCCCAGTCAGTACTGCAGGATCTGCCGTTCGCGGCCCCTGATTATCCACTCTGTTCCCAGGTAGCCCCGTGTGGCCCTGTGTTTCCTCCGGCGAAAGACGAATGCACTTCTATCTGATTTGCCCAGTAACGGGGTCACGTGCTTGGCCGTCCCCACAGCCCGGAGTGGGAAGCCCTCCCTAACCAGCGAGGGCGACCGGAGGCAATTAAAACACACCCCTGGAGGTGAACACTGTAAATGGCAGCAGGAAGGCCAAGTGACCCTCACGGTATAATGCTATTCAGAGACACTTGGTGTCCTGGAAAGGGCATGGAATTCGGAATCAGGAGACCAAATTGTGGCACAAAGCCCGGCTCTACCACATTTTGGTTATGGTGACATCGGGCAAGTCGCCTAATCTCTCTGCTTTTTCAAGCCGTTTGATGCCATGTCCAGGGTTCTTTCCGTTACAACATCCTGCCTGCAGCAACAGCGGAAGTATCTGGAGTGCAAATGGAGCGTGTGATTAGCACCATGCAATGACGAATGGGACAGTATGCTTTGGGGACTATCACTTGGGATGGCCAATGTTCCCCACAATGAATGCTCAGCTCCCAAGAAGGTCGGCATTTCCGTGCCCTCCTGCTACTCTCCCCCACACCTGTGCACCTGTCGCCCTCACCTCCATTTTGTTGCTCAGACTTCGGATCAAATGTCTGCCTCAGAGAGGCCTCTCCTGATCCTGATTAGCTCGCTATAAATGATCTCCCCCATCACTGTTTACACGATTACCCGTCATAATGCTTACTCTGACCAATCCTAGCCTTTATAATACTTATCATTATCCGATAACTTTAAAAATTGTTTACTTGTCTATGATGTCTCCTTTGACTAGAATATGGGCTCTGTGAACACAAGGTCATTTTCTATTTTGTTCTCTTAGCATCCCTGTGCCTGCAACAGTGTGTAGTTCCCAACAGGCTTTCAAATGTGCAACAAACCAGTTGGTCGACAGAACACAAACAGTTGTCTGCGGAGAGGCGGGAACGAAGTCCGGCCTCCCCCACAGAGACTCACAAGAGGGAACAATTTCAGCACATGGCGCGAAGAGGGAGACTCCTCACCCACACGCTCCCCCTGGTTATCTTGAGGTGGGCCCAAGGAAGGAGCGGCCGGTGGCGCGGGGCTCCACGTTCGGAATCCCTCGCCCCCTTCTGTTCCCGGGCTCCGACCTCTCGACCACGCGATTCTTCCTGTCTCTTTCCACCCATTCATTCCTAACGTCTCCTTATTTTCTCTTATTTCGGTAGAGACGAGGGTTCGCTCGGCTGCCCGGCTGGCCTCAAACTCTGGCGCTCGGGCCACCAGCCCCCTCGGCCTCCCGGAGTGCCGGCCTGACGCCCGGTCCTTCTTTTCTCCTCCTCAGCGGCACGTCGCCCGTACCTCACACGACCTTTCTCTTTCTAAACTCTGCGGCCTCTCACGTCCCCCCTCCCCTTCTCTCACCTGTCTTTTTTTTCTTTTTTGAGTCGGAGTCTCACTCGGCCCCCAGGCTGGAGCGCAGTGGCTGCTCCCTCCCGGCCCCCGCAGCCTCGCCCCGCCGGCTCCGGCCATCCTTCCGCCTCCGCCTTCCGAGCAGCCGGAACTACAGGCGTGCTCTACCACGCCCGGCTGATTTTGTGATTTGTTGTAGAGATGAGGTCTCGCTGCCCAGGCGGGTCTCGACCCGCGGGCTCAGGCCATCCGCTCACCTCAGCCTCCCACAGGCGTGGGATGACAGGCTGAGCCACCGAGCCCGGCTCTCACCTGTCTTTAACTTTCCACTCCGATTTCCTATATTTTCTCTGTTTTCACTCTCCCTCTTCCTGTCTATTCTCGGAGATAATGCATTTGACAGTGTTCCTAAACTGCAGCTTTCTACATGACGTGATTCCCTGACTTCATACTACATCGTTACTCTGAAACATGACATACCGGTTGTTCTTAGGCCCCTATGGCATGTGTTTGTATTGTTTCTTCTAATGGGATGTGAGGAAGGAAAGTCCAGACTTCCCATCAACAAGGCATACTTCATCTTTGTTTTCCACGAAATGGAAGTAAGTCCTGGAGTTCAGTTTCCTCGTAACAAAAGGCACACACCACAGGAGGGCTTACCAGATTCACAATGCAGTATGCAGTCACAGAGAGAATAAGGCTAATTGGAATTAAGCGCTTGACAAATAGAGGGAATTTTAAGGCTTTTATAAAGATTTCCACTCATTATGAATCAATAAAATTCTAAGTGTCTATATAATATAGTTTTAATAAACTCAACTTACTAAGATATAAAACTAAAAATATATTAATGCACTGAAAGTCCAGTATTAAACAATAAATTACCGAATCAATCTTGTGTACCTCATGGTACACCTTCAGTGATTTATCCCATGTAACTCTGTTTTCAGTTTGGAAGAGGAAATCAGATAGTTTAGCTGTTGATTCTGGAATTACCCCTTCAGCACGATATCTGTAGTTAACAAAAAAAAAATTCAAAACTCAAGTTTAGTCTAAGCCGAAAGTATAATGCTGTCAGAGTATAAAGGCAGGTTGATTTAACAAATAATGGTGAAGAAAACTGGAAGGAATATCAGCAATCCAACACATTAATATTCAACTGGATGTAGCAAAGTTTATTTAAATATCCTTTGCAATAAAAAATACACACTATCCAAAATTCACTTTTCTCCAAGTAGACTATTAGTAATTAAGTTTCGGGGGAGTCAAGAGTTTTTAGCACATTTTTGACCATGTGGGGTGTTGGCATCCCTAGCCCTCACATTGTTCATGGGTAAACTGTAATGTTTTGTTGAAACTCAGCCATACTCATTTATTGGCTGTCTATGAGTGCTTTTGTGCTATGGTGGCAGAGTTGAGTAGTTATAACAAAGACCATATGAGTTGCAAAGCTTGGAGAATTTACTCTCTGTCCCTGTTTCTAAACTTTGCTAACCTCTGGTTTAGACTGTCCACTCAATGGCTAATCCTTTATTTTCCAGTCACTTTGTAAAGGTAGGAAAAGTATGAGTTACAGTTTTTATATGCCTGCAAAATAGAAGTTATTTTTCTTTCTGAAAGGTCATAAAAGATAATTAAAGTTCTATCTTAGGAAAAGGGGAGGCTTCTACTTAAAAAGTGCTTCATCTTAATTCACTAGTTAGAGATATATCAATAACTTATTGGCTTTTTAAAAAAATGTAAATATCATGTATCTTTGGAAATGTAAATCAACTCTATGTCTTAAGTACTTAAGTTCATCACCCAATGAGTAATTCTGTATCTACAGTGTGTGAAGCTCTTTGGATGTATCAATTTTGTCATATATATTTTATATCTATTAATCATTAAAATGTCCGTTTTAGATATTTTACTAAGATGTAAAATAAAGCTTGTGCTCACTATAAGTAATGTATTCTCAGGTCAAATGAGCAGTACTTGACTCTCTCTTGTCTCTTATAGTTGCTGACAATCCTTAGCTGGTATCTGGAAAAACTAACAGACCAGTAAAAATGAAGTTACACTTTCTACTAACTATACATTTAATGAAGCTTTCAAGCTCTAGTGAAAACCATTTAGTAAACATGGATTTGTATCAATACACTAATTGTAACTGTCTCTAAATCACTCTGTACCCTTTTTGTTTTTGTGAAGGAGTACTGCTGGAATAGCAACTAGGAGGGTGAGGAGGAGACAAATAGTGAAAACGTCTACTTTTGCATCCTAAAAACTGTAAACCTGGGGAAGCACTTCCAATATAAGATACTGATGGGCTTTTAGCGATCTCATTTTCAGCATTTTTCTATGGAATATTAATGAGTTGGGGGGTGGGACTTCCAGAGTAGCTGAGTGATGAATTTAGTAAACCATCTCCACGGTGATAGAACCAATTTAGGTGAAAATGGTTTCTTAAAACAACAGAGTCTCTGGAAATGGAACTTCTCAGTCACAATGGAATTACATTAGAAATAAACAACAGAAATAAATTTGGAAAATTCACAAATACGTGGAAACTAAACAATATACTCCTGAATAACTAATAAGTCAAAGAAGAAAAATTAAGTCAAGGGGACATTAGAGAATAATTTGAGATAAACAAAAACACAAACACAACATGTCAAAACTTATGGAACGTGCAAAAGCAGCACTTGGAGGAAAATTTATAGTTGTTAAGTGCCTACATTTTTAAAAAAGTTCTTAAATCAATCACCCACTTTGTGTGAAAAAAAGCCAAAGCCACCTAAACCCAAAGCAAGCAGAAGGAAGGAAACAACAAGGATTAGAGCGAAAAGGCATGAAATTGGGAATGCCCTGAGTAACTCTGTTTGTTTGTTTGTTTGCCTGGATGAAAAATGTCCTCAAAAGGAAACGTTTTGCCAGCGTGGAAGAGGTTAAACCAAAAATGGCAGAAGCACTAAGGGCACCAAAACACTGTTTGAGCGATGAGAAAACTGTCTGCATCAAACGGAGAGTACTTTGAAGGTGACTGAAGTTTAAACACGTAAGAATAAATACACTATTTTGAATAAATAAATTCTGGGTTTTTTGGGTCCTTCCTTGTAAAGGTCAGTTGAATATAAATGAGCATGCAGAAGAAAATTCTAACATGGTGGATCAATGGATTTTTGACAAAGAAGCCCAGACAATTTAATGGAGGAAGAAGAGTTTTCAACAAATGATGCTGGGACAAACGGATATCTACATGCAAAGACTGAACTAAACGCCTACCTCACACCATAAACAAAATTATAACAAAACAGACATAAACGTATAAGACAGAACAATAAAACTCTTAGGGATAAATCTTTGTGACCTTAGATTCAACACCATCAGCACAAGTGATAGAAGACTGATAAGCTGAACTTCACTAAAATCACACACACACAAGAAGTGCATCAAGCAGGTGAAAAGACAGCTTACAGAATGGGAGAAAATTTTGCAAATCATGTATCTGAAACTACTATTTACAATATATTAACAACTCTTTTTTAGTGTAAAGATGTGGGGTACAATTCAGGGTTAGACGCATAAGTGGTCACCATACAGGTGAAGTTGGGGCCTCCCTTTGGTCCCCATTTCACCTGGTTTGGGATCAGGTATCCTTATTGATGCTATGTGGCCCCCTCCCTGCCCTGCAGAGGTGACCAACTACTGCCAATCCCTTTCATGTAGTGTCATGATAAATGTTCAGGGTCCACTTATGAGCGAGAACATGTGGTACTCAGCTCTTTTTTTCTGTGACAGATCACCGAATAACTCTTACAATGCAACAACAACAACAAAAGGCTCATTTTCTTATAAAAAGGCTTTGAAAAGACATTTCTCCATGGGAGATCTGTGAATAGTCAATGTGCATAGGAAAACATCAGTCATTAAGGAAATGCAAGTCGAACCCACAATGAGGTACCACTATACACCCACTAGAATGGCTATAATAAGAAACCAGATATTAAAAGCTACAGCAAAGGATGTGGGGAAATTGGAACCTCCATACATTGCTGGTGAGAATGTAAGGGGTACAGCCACTTTAAGAACAGTCTGGTAGTTCCTCAAAAATGCTAAACACAGAAGTACCACGTGATCCAGCACTTCCAGTCCTAGGTTTGTACTCAAATAAAAGCGTATGTCCACACACAAATATGTACACAAATTTCAAAAGAGCATTATTTAGAACAGCCCAAAATGGAAACAACCAAATGTCCATCAACTAATGAACAGGTAAGAACATTATTCTGCAATGACAGGGAATGTAGTACTGACATTGCTGCAATGTGGATGAACCTCAGAAACATCATGGAAGACGCCAATCACAAAAGACCACATGTGGTCATCCATATGCTCCCGTTTGCATGAAATGCCCAGCGTAGGCAACTATTACAGGCAGAAAGTGGATTGCCAGTTGCCTGGGACTGGGATGGGGATAATAAGAAGTGACTGCTAATAAGTACAGCTTTCTGTTTCAGTGATGAGAATGTTCTGAAATCAGATTATGATGATCTTTGCATATATATGTATACACACTGAAAACCACTGAATTTATATTTAAAATAGACAAAATTTAGGATACATAGTTATACCTCCAGAAAGTTGTTAAAAATTAATTAGTTCCACCAATTCATTTTCTGAAATAGAGAATGACATTAAATCTATTTCCCATCTAATCTATTGCATAAAAAAAAAAAACACAGCAATTTTGAATGTCTCTAGAGTAGGCAGAGAACCTATATTTTATCTGAATAGCTTGCTATAAACTGCGAACCAAAATAAGACAATTCAGTAAAATATGTTATTAACAATGTGGTCTTTAGTAATTATTTTGCCAAATCTTTTTATTTTCAATTTGAATTTATTCATTATAAATACGTTTTTACCAATTTCTTACTCCGCCCAGCCCCAGCATTAATTATAAACCAGTTATTGATGGTGTTACTGATGACATGATGTTCTGATTCTTTTATTTGTGAAATATAGCAGTGTGTAAAATGACCTCGTATAGACCAACCCCCATTCTATTTTTTTTTAACGGAGGTCTCACTTTGTCACCCAGGCTCGGGTGCGGTGGCACACTCATGGCTAGCCTCGACCTCCTGGTTTCAGGTGACCCTTCTGCCACAATCTCCAGAAGAGCAGTGACTACAGACACACACAACCATGCCCAGCTAATTTCTGATTTTCGTGCAGCTGAGGCAGGTCTTGAACTCCTGGGCTCAACCAATTCTCCCACCTTGGACTCCCTAAATGCTGGGATTACAGGCGCACCACCAGCCTAGCCCAAATTCTATTTTTAAACAGTGCTACAATATCCATCACTGAATAGCACAACTCTTCTTCCTCAAGTTTCATAAAGTGGGAGAAAAGCAAAGTCTAAACAACACTTTTCAAATTATCTTAATAATAATACTATCTGAATTATTTTGATATTAAAGAAGATTTTTAGGATTCAAGGTTTAGGACAATACTGAACCAGAATGAATACTGGGTTGTTAGAACTTCATATTGGCCAAAGCAACTTTATTCATTACTTTTGTTACTGTAAAAAAAAAAAAAAAATTTAACCTATTTAAATATGAATGCTTTAGTTTATAAAATTTATAGCCTATCTCGCTTGTCTGCCTCAGAGGGTAGAAAAGAGGATTAAATGTAACTGGGGTACTAATGGCAATGAAGAAACAGCAGGGAAATAACTGGCAGAGGAGGAGAAAGTAACACGATAAGCAAGAGTGAGACACATAAGGTAGAAAAGGCGCACTCTGCCAGAATCCTTCTGTGGCTGCTTTGCCCTGATTATGTCCCCGATACCTCTGGCAGTCTGGGGAAGTCAGAGAGAAGACTCACTGAGTATAGCCTCTACAGCAAAGACCTGGCTCCCAAGCTTTGTCTCACGAACACTTACCAGCTAGGTGACTTGGGGGACAGTAACTCATGCAGGCTTTACTGGTCTCTAACATGGGATCACAACAGGGGCCATGTTGCGGGGAACGCGAGGCGTAAGCAGAAAAAGGAAAGTGACACATGTAGCCCAGTGCCTGCCACACAGGGAGAGACTAATAAGTGTCAGCTGCTTCTAACGTTTAGAGAAATGTGTGGGCAAAACTGTGTGCTAGTAGATCTGTATTTCAACCTTCAAGGGCAGAAAGGAAAGAAATCCCAGTTGCAAACTGACCCTTTTCTTATACACACAGCTAATGCTCAAAGCTAGCCGCAAGAGACTGTTTTTGGGTGGTAAGTTATTAGCAAAAGGCATAACAAGTGTGAGAAAATATCTTGAGTTTATTTTCTTTGTATTGCAGTTGTAAGATATGTAATTTTCCATTTGGTTGCCAACATAACTGTGGGAGGGGCCTTCCCAAAACAAAGAAAACGTGATGAGGCATAGTCAACATCTAAGTGTGCACACGTAGCCCTGTCACATTCCTGTACTATGAAATACCCAACCAAAACGTGTGCTGCCATACAAGGGAGACAAAGGGGTTAGAACGTAAAGGGAAGTTGGCAAAAAGTATATAAGGCAATACCCCGCTGCGTACGGGGCTCAGCCTTTGGATATGAATCCGCTGAGCCAGTGCGGGCACAAATAAACACTGCTTCCTGGCAAAGAAGCCTCGGTGTCCTGTCTCTCTCTGCAAAGGGTCCTATTACATAACTAATGTCCATACATTTATTCAGCAAGTATTTATTGCTTGTCTTTGAAGCAGACACTGTTCTGGTGCCGGAGATACTGCAGTGAACAAGAGTGATTTATTTCTAGTCTGATTCTTACAAGTTCCTATTCTCACTAAGTCTATATTCTAATAAAATAGTTATATAACAAATAAGAAAACACAGAGGATAAATTTCCTACAGTGATAAGTGCTATGAAGAATAGCAGAATAGTGTGGTAAACAGTAGATGAGTTCGTGTAATTGGTAGTTTTGGTCAGAAAGGTTACTCTGAACAGTAGACAACGAAACTGAAACCTTGAGTCCCCAAACAGCTTTAGTCATCAAAAGATTTGGGGGAGCAGCTTCCCAGGCAAAAGAAAGACAACTATGAAGCCTCCGAGGTGGGTTTAAGTTCAGTGCATTCTAGAACTATTGTAACAAGGAAGAATGAGACACGGTCAAAAGTGAAGTTGGAAAGGTAGGCAGGGGCCAGGTGGTAACGGACACCTTGACTACAAACTTTTGTGCTATTCCTTGAGGCAGAGACACCAAGCCAAGCTGATCCTGGACACATAACCCAAAGAAACCAGGAGTTCACAAATGTTTAAGTAGCTAACTTATAGGGTAATTTGCTGTACACCAATAAATAACTAGCACACAGTACATACACATTTCACTCTGAAAGTTCCAACTATTTGTTTAGCTTTGCATGTAAGAGTAAAATATCTCTGATAAAAAGTTTCAAAAAAGCTTTTGAACAGCCCGAGGGAGGCTACTCTTTGAATGGCTCTAGGCACGTGTATAGCGCCTTGCTTAGAAATACTCAGCAAGCATTTGCAGAATGGATGAATAATTTCCAAGGTTTTTCTTGATGCGAAGGGCTGGTCTACACCAGTCTAATTTGTCAGGGACACAAAGCCACGCGATCTAAAAGCTTGTTCCTCTAGTGTGCCTGGGCTTGACCACACCCACTCCTCCCTCATCTTCTTTTTGAAAGTGCCACTATTAGAGTCATTAATTACTCGGATAACAAAGGTTCATGCTATTTTTCTGATAGTTGTTAAAGTGAATGGAGAAAGCTTATCAGTTTTGTCTGATAGTAAAAAATGGGGTGGACATACAGGAGAGGTAAATTTTAGTCAGATAAAAAAAGCAAGAAGCACAAAATGAGGTAGTTGAAAGAAGGAGTGGGTGCCAAAGGACAAGAAACTGAATCATATTTGGTCTCCTCAAAAACATCTGATGATCTAGTGGCACTTTTGTGATATCATGAGCAATAAATGAACAACTCTAAAACATAAAGTTAAAAAGTGTCAGCACAATTTCTCACAATTTTATTTCTAATCTGGTTCATATGCAAATTCCTATTCTCACTAAGTCTATATTCTAATAAAAGAGTTATATAACAAATAAGAAAACAAAGCGGATAAATTTCTTATGTGATAAGTGCTATGAAGAATAGCAGAATAGTATCCTTGTATTTGAAATAATAAGATCCTCAAAAACATCCTTAAAAGTGTCTTACAGAAAAATGTGCATATATCAGCAAGATAAATAAAATGAGGAAATAAACTTTACTTTTAGTGGTTCACTTAATGGAAAGGTGAAGGGTCTGAAAGACCATAAAATTATACTTTTAGCAAGAAAATATAAATCTGCTTTTTAGTAATTATTTCTTAAAGTGAAAATCTCATATCTTACTCAATTATTCATCAGAAAGGATTCTTCTGGTTGTCTTCAGGTTTGAAAATAAGATTAGATGGTACATAATTGCTCTGTTTTATTCATATCACATCACTAGTGAATTAATAGTTTCTATTCCTGATCACTGTTAAGTAATTTATTGTATTTAATGAAGCGGCAATGAATTCCAGTTAAACTGATGTCAGTACCACTGAAATTAAAACAATGATTGTAAATAGGAAATTGTACTCACAGATTTCCGTGGAATTTTCTAGAAGCTTTGCTGGAAACAGTTATTTTTTTCTCAAAGGGGAAATAAAAATCCACAAATAAGTTAGCTGTCAGATACAGAAAAAAGGAAAATAAAAAATAGTAAAAATACCTATTCTGTGGTTTGCAAAAGAAAACATATATATATACATATAATTTTTTTTATTTGTATTTTTTTAAAGAGTTGGGGTTTTGCTATGTTGCCCAGGCTGCAGTGCCGTGGCTCCTCACAGGCGCAATCATATGCACTACAGCCTTGAGGTCCTGAGCTCAAGCAATCCTCCTGCCTCGGCCTCCCAAGTAGTTGGATGCATGTCATTGCACCCGGGACAGATGATATATTTTTAAGAAAACGTCTTTACAGCGAATTGTTTCTCATTAAAAAAAACCCAAAAAACTCTTTGAAACATTTAACTTGCTTTCTTACTGAAGTTTTAACCACATTCCAGCCTGTTGTATCTTGATAATAACTTAAGACCTCTTGGGCAGCTTGCTGGGCAATTGCCTTATAGTCCATCTATCTGCAAAGTTTCAAAAACAAATGACGGGTAAGAATGTAATCCTATACAAACTTGTAACATGCTATATTACACTGTAATACTATTTCTACAGTGCCTGTCAATTGAGCAATGAGCAATTTACATGTTGAAGACATGCGCGCCTGAACTCCTTCCTCCTTAGTTTTTCAAATGAGAGAACATACTATAGTGGCAAAAGCCAGACTTTGGAATCAAATCTTGTCTCAGACACTCACTAGTTGTGTAAAGCATGCTACTTAATATTTGTTTTTCCATTTTCCTCACGGTGCAAAATTGTAGAATTTGTGTCAGGGTTTAATGAAATACCTGTAAATGTCCTGCCGCCAGGCCTGTCACATTAATATTCACCCTATAAATTATTACTTCCAACAGCTTCATCGTGCTTCCTCTTTGGGTAAAGCATCACCATCTGTTGATCATGTGTTCTTGGGAACTCATCTTTTTTAAGCAAGGGCAGACTGACTTGTTTCCCGGCTTCCTCCTCAGACACACCTCCTACCGGTTTGCTCGGTGTCCCCTGAGCGCCAATCATGTTGCTCTCCAGGCTGTTCCTCAAAGACAACCAGGGAATCCCCTACCTGAGAGTCTTTGGACTCACGGCCTCTGCTCGGAACACTCTCCCCTCAAGTGTTCACGTTACTTGACTCTGCTTCGCTGTTGTCTTTGCTTAAATGTCACCTCCTCAGATAGGGTCAAGCTTCAATCAGCTTCAACACGTTGACCGAATCCCTACTCCAAGTTAGAAACTGGAGTGGACTGTTTGTCTCCCCAAAACTCATACGCTGAAATACTAACTCCCAAGGTGATGAAAAAAGGAAGTGGGACGTTTGGGAGGTGACAAGGTGATGACGGCCGAGTCCTCGTCAGTGGGGTTCATGCACTTACAAAAAGACCCCCGAGAGCTCAAGCCCCTCACCAGAATCCAGCTGTGTTGGTACCCTGATCTCAGACTTCCAGCTTCCAGAACTGTGAGAAACGCATTCCTGTCGTTTATAAGCCATCCTGTCTTTGTTAGAGCAGTCTAAAGAAACTGAAACTGAGCAGGCACAGTGGCATGTGCAGCAAAGACAGTTGAGTAAGCCACTCTTTCTGCGGTGCTTGAGTTCAGAAAGCTGTCGTCTTCTTCGTCCTTTGGCCCATCATGCCGTTTTCCCCTGGAAGAAGCGGACAGGCGTGGGACAAAGAAGGTGACAATACAGCGCTGGATTCAAGGCTTGACTTTGCTACTCACCACCAGCGTATAATGTTGGGCGAACTGCTTAACCTTTGAACTTCCACTTCCACATGTATAGAACAGGGATAACAATACCTATCTTGTGGAGATGAAGGAAACAAGGACATAAGCTTGACAAGGTCCTTGTGTTTCTGGCCTGGCTCCAACAAGAGCTTGACCAGTGTTTTCTTCTCTCGATGTTTGACCCTGGGAATGTTGATTTAGTAGAATTCAGGTGGTGTGACCTCTAGTCTGCGTAGGCCGGGTATACCCTGCTTTAATAGTAACTTTGCTTAGAACTTCAAAGAACACAGATGTTAGTAGTTTTACTTAGACTCTCAGAAAACAAAGACGTTAGTACTATAGTAAGCTTGCCAAGAAAGTCACAAACATTAACCTTTTTACCAGCTGATATTTCTTGTTTATGTAGTTTTGCCCTATATAAAAAACATGCTGTCAGAATCAACTTGCTCTCACCTATTGAGGCAGGAGACCTCCCAATCCGGCTGTTCTTTCTTTTCTCATTCCTTCCCCCCACCTCAGGCCCTGCTTTATGGAGGCTGGACCTTTGCATGGAGTCATTAAAAGGATTAATTGAGTTAATATATGTAAAAATGCTTAAAACAGTGTGGAGCCTATTCTAGTTTATCAAAAACACTAGCTTATCATTTAAAACACTCTCCAAAGTGCTGCCTCCTTAAGCACTTCAAATAAACCTCCTTAAGGTTTAGTTACAGAACATTTCTTCCTTAGCTGTCACCTAAAACAATAGATTGACCACAAATCTATTTTCTCTTAATTCTCCAGTAAGGCACAACAGCTGCTGGTCAACAGCTTCTGTGTTTGGAAAGCCCTACTTAACCACTATAACCTCCTCTTTTCTAGGAGAGTCCAGGTTTCTTTTTTTTTTTTTTAAATTAAAATTATAGAGATGTGAGGTACAATTCAGGGTTAGGTATAGAAACACCGATCATGCAGGTACCCTTGATGAGGAATGCTCCTCCCTCCCTTGGAGTTTCCCTCAACTGCCAATCCCACCCCCCTCCCCTGACTGTTTTCCACTACTTCCAATCACTTTGTTATAGCATTATAATTGTTCAAGGTCCATTTATGAATGAGAACATGTGGAACTCAGTTCTTTGTTTCTGTGAAGAATCACTGAGTATGATCGAAGGGAATATACTCGGAGGAACTCAAATCATTCTATGACAAAGATGCCTACACACGTACGTTTGTTGCAGCTCTATTTGCAATAGCAAAAACATGGAACCAACCGTGTAGCCCAGTGAAGTTGTCCTGGAGTTTAAAAATGTGGTACATATACACCATGGAATATTATCCGGCCATAAAGGACAAATATATGGACTTTGCAGCAACTTGGATGGATATGGAGTCCATCATACTCAGTCCAGGTTTCTTTACCTTTCCTAACAGATCTAGTCCAGAATTTTAAAAGCTGTTGGGACTCCTGCAAATTCTTGTGGAAATTTCCATATCTCTTAACCTGTGAAGGAACAAAGCAGAAGCAGAATTATTTTGACCCATGGATTAGGTTAATATACTTGACAACTTCCTTTATATTTTCTCTGCGTCCTTCCTTTATTCACACTTTATATCTTCATTAGGAAACGTTTGCTACTTACGCCCCAAGAACACTGTCTGTGGAAAGATCCTTTAATGAACTATCTTAAAGGTCAGGGGACATTTAGACATTGGGGTGGAATGCAGATTTTTAACGATCTAACTTTGTGAGCCCTCCTCATTGGCGGCCCTTGGCGGGTCCCCAACCTGGGCTGTTCCTGGTGCACCCAACACAGCTCCTGATTTCCCGTTAGCAGGCGACTTCATGCCGACCGATCGAGAAACTCCAAAGATTCCCGACACAACACACCACTCGCTGTAAACTCCTGCAAGGACTGTCTTGTGTCCAGATCACCAGCCTCGCCTCTAGACGGGGGTTCTGGCCTCCGGACTTCCGCTCAGAGAACAGGGAAGGGCCGTCCAGCAGCTCCAGGGGCGAAACACCACGGCGGCAGCTCCCGGGGAGGCCGCCTCGGAGGAGCCGAAGCACGTTCCGGCGAGACGGCCAAGGCCGCCTTCGCCCTCCCGCGGAAAAGCAACAGAAGCGGCATCGGGAC